GTCAAAAAATCACAGAGCGAAAGGATTAAGAAGAAAGTGAAGGACTGTTTAAAACCATACCGATGTCATATATGAAAGCGAGCAGTCGCGAGTGGTGGCTCGTATTGACACTAGCGACTAACTGTGAGCTACCTCTTACGGTAAAATTTGGAAAATCCTAGGAGAAAATTGAAAAGCGAAATGTTGTTAGAAAGTGGTCGTCTCCTACAATAGTATACGGTTTTTTTTCATATATATATGTGTATATAACAATAGTTTTCACAACGAAATCTAGAAGGTAATGATAGATAGTGAATGGACGGGATTCAGTTGAGGGCCAAGCGAGTCGTAACGACGAGCGTTACTTGTAGTAGATGGATGCAAAATGACCTATGGTGAAAATCTAGTATTTTCTGATTTTCTTGGACTTGGTCTGTGCTATCGTGAATCGGAATACATCATTCGATAGAGCTCATCGAGTTGTACTCGGAACACCAGTGGAACGTTTAGAACATGTTCCTGGGCGAATCTTGGCGGGTTTTACTGCATAAAATACAGGATTTTTCTGGTGATACACTAGTATTTTTAAATTTTCTCAGACTCAGTTTGAGTTATGGAAAATCTGAACACGCCATTCGATAGAGCGCGTCAAGCTGTACTTGGAACACGAATGGAACTCTTGGAACATGCTCCTGAGCGAATCTTGGCGGGTTTTACTGCATAAAATCCAGGATTTTTGTGGTGATACACTAGTATTATCAAATTTTCTCAGACTCAGTTTGAGTTATCGAAAATCTGAACACGCCATTCGATAGAGCGCGTCAAGTTGTACTCGGAACACGAATGGAACACTTGGAACATGCTCCTGAGCGAATCTTGGCGGGTTTAAGTGGATGGATGCAAAATCACCTATGGTGAAAATCTAGTATTTTCTGATTTTCTTGGACTGTGTTTGAGCTATCGGGAATTGGAATACACCATTCGATAGAGCTCATCGAGTTGTACTTGGAACACACCTTGGGACAGTTGGAACATGTTCCTGGGCGAATCTTGGCGGGATTTACTCGAATCTGGTGCTAACTTCACCTACGTAATTACGACCTATATTTTTGATAGAACTTTTTTTCAAGGGCTTCTTTGATCAACTCGCAATATGGACAGGACTGAAAATTGATAATATATTCGATGCTTGGGTTATTGCTGATACAATCATAATTGAGGTAATATATATATGTGTCTTTATTGAAAATAAATCCATTCCCTTGTTATTCTTCGAAGGGCTTCTACAATATAAATCCATCATGGGCGAGTCCCTCCGTACTCAGTCAACTTGAACAAATTTCTGCATTATCTTTATATCATCTATTCTCTTTTTCTGAAATGAATAAGATTCGAGGAGGCCAGTTCTTCATTTCGCCCATAATTAGAAATTATTATTTAGTCTTCTTATTTAATTTCGTTTAGGTCCACTTGTCCGAGATATTATGGAAAATATACAAAACTTGATCGCAAACAAGACAAGTGGGCGAAAAGGAAAGATTTATTCTGGTGTAAGTTTAGACCGTTTTTAAGATTCATTTTTCATTCTCATAGGTTTTGATTCTAGCATGATATAACACTTGCTGCAGTATTATCTTTCCTTGGAATGAATTACATTCATCGACCTTCATATGCTAGTGCACTCTTTTTCGACTTGTATCACTTAGCAGGTTGGCAGTTTCAGCTTTCATTGTTTTAAGTCTACAAATCCACTTTCTCTATTTTGTAAGACGAGAATAGTTACGCCTTGAAAGTAGAATATCGTAATTCAACAAACAGTCCTACAGCTCAACCAATGCAATTACCACGTAAGTTATTCACTCTCTCAAATATTCTGATTACTTTCTAATATTTTTCGATCCATAGCCTGTTCGAACATGCTCTGTCCCATAGACACATTATTTGAATGGATTGAGAATAGACTACCTAGTAGTAATATGAAAAAAGAATGCATGGCTCAAAGACCTCACCTGCCACGTATGTGGAACATATTCATGAGACTATAGTAGTATGAAAGGATATTTATTTCTTTTAGGCACTGTTCGTACTATTCGTCGCCTTTTTTCTTGATGATTCGTGTATTTTTCTATACGCATGAATTCTCTTCAACGTCAAAATTGTGCAAAGATTCAATTTCAATCCTTCTCTAAATCTGATTATACATCTCGATATGATAGGTTGAATGAATAAAATGTTTTGCATGAAGAACCTAGCTAGAAAAATAAATAAAAAAAAACCATTGTTTGACTGAAGAAGAATTCAGCTAAGTTCTCTAAACTTAACCTAGGCATTGAAAATTTGCCGTCTCAACGATTTTTCGAATTTCAATCTGTTGTTTGTATAATAGATCATCTGTTAAATATTAACACTTCATTTTCAATTGTTGATGATCTACTAAATGTTTACTACAGATCAATAGAAGTTGATTAGTCAAGTAGCTATTGATTATAGCAATATTTTGTTCGTACAATGCCTTGAAAGTAAAATGAAAATATATCTCTATTCATAGCGTTTGAACAAGAAATCAAAATATTTCCTTTTGAAGATTAGAGACAGCACAAAATAATTTGGTAATATTTATTTATCTTGGACAATAAAATGAATTCTTTTTGTTATCATCATCATCTAATCAAGTATAATACGGTTATTACTTTCATTATATTATTTAGGTTTTGTTAATTACAATTGATTCATATTTATTATTTAGCTTATGCTGTTATATTAAATATAACAATGATGTTACATGACTGTGATGTTCAGTACAGATTCATATTGGTTTTCATCATCATGCGTTTCATTTTTTTTGTACCGTCATACTAAAATTGACCATGATAGTTTCAAGATCGAAAATTTCGTCTATTTCTCTTTTCCCATATACACATAAATTAAATACACAATAATTCCTACATTTACAAATTTCACTACACAATATTACATCAATCTCAAGATCTTTTACTTCATATGGAATCTGCTTAGCAAAAGCGGAAGATAGCAGCAAGATGAATCATACAAGAAGCAAGAATATAGAAAAAAAGTCACTGTTTATTTCTGTTGTCAATTGAATTAATGATGTCAGTGATGAGAGAAATTAAAAAGTCTCCTCCTATTGTTTCCCTGTGAGCGTCGACGTCAGGCATAGCCAACTCGTATCTAATATCGTCGGACTTCTTCTCATGCGATATCGTCTTGTAGATTTTGTAGCCCATTATGGGGATGACAAGAGGGGCTGTAAGTCTCCCTGTCATAATAATCGAGCTTGCTTCAAGACCAGAATGGATAGATTTGGCCGCTCGGCTATGCTTGACTTCCTTGCGGATGAGTTCGTCATCGGACCATAAGAAGTATTTGTGAAGCATGAGAAGATCTTGATGACAGTAAGAGATATATTCTTGGTATAATGGAGCCTATCTCAGTAGATAGCTTGTTGATTGTGCAGAGTTTCATGTCTTCTATAATACTGATACACTCTCGTTCTTTGGAAATCTCCAATATGTGTGATTGATAATGTAGCAGAGGAAAAAATCCAAATGATGACAAACTATGATACATTGATGGTAGTGTACAATACTCATGACGCATTTCAAACAGGTAAAAAGTACATACGAAGTCTTCGATTCTCGTAACTATCATCAATTGTCAATATATTATTTTAATGATAGTTCAGATGAAAACATTATATTTAATGATTCGATCTTATCTCACGTTATCCTTGCTATTATATCAAGTAACTCAGTTTGTGTGACTAATAAACATACCTTATGTCAGCAAAGGTTTTATTGGAAATATCCAATTTGCATCAACCACAAACGTTTCGAGTGGTTGCGAATTCCGCATTCTATTCGAGTTTTCATCTTCAGAGGAAATTCTATGTGTGTAGAGATGGGAATGTGTGGAATGTGAATGATGAGAAGACTAACATTTGATATTTACACCCAAACTGTCTCCAGTTCATAGCTACTATGCCTAAAAAACCGTAATGTTCTTTCATTGCTGAAATATCAGTTTTTGATAGTGTAGTTTGAGTATAGTGTTTTCTAGTTAAAAAATAATGAGGTTGTCTTATTATTAATTTTTTCAGGTGCCTCTCCCTGGTAACAAAGGACAGATCATCATAAACACATAAAAACTACCTCTTTTTGCGTCTAAAATTTCAGAAAAGGTTGCATAAGTGGATGTGGAGTGTCTGGACATCATTGACAGTAGACTCCACACTTACACCCACACCATTAGATAGGAGTAAATATTAATTTGATGGAAACAAATCAAGAGAAATGGTTCCAATTTCAACTGCAACATATATACATGAATAAGTTATATGCGATAGTAGGAGTAGCACTATATTGTAAATGCGTATCTGATGGAAGACATTGTATGATAAAAAATCATTAACGTGACGTATTTGTCATGTAATATGACAGAAAAAGAAAAGAAAAGAAAGGCGTTTGGAATAAAAAACCATAGACAGGACATCTGTTACAAGGGACACACTTAATATATTGATCAAATTATTGAATACAGCATTCTTCAGCTTGAAATGGTTGAATTTACATTATTCAAATATGGTAGCATAAATCATGTAATACATCAAATAAATTCATCAGTTAATCCGTTTGTATTTATTTATTTTGTTGATATAAATTAATAAATTTGAATTTATTCAAATGTAGAAGTTATACAAAACAAAAAACCGGTAATCTTGAAAATGTTTTCTTCCTTTTTTTGTGAATATCATGTGTAGTAATACCATCGGATCGAAAACGTCTTATTACAAAAGAGGGAGACATTTATTTTCGAAGGTAAATATTTATTATTACAAAATAAAATAAAATACTTTAATATAGATTGAATATTGAAGATCGTTGTCGTTATTTACGAGATATTTTTACATAATTGTTAGATTTACCGTGGATATTTATATTAGTTTTATTTGTTTTTGTTTTGCAATATCATGGCTTTTATTTGCTATTATTTGGTATGTTATAATGTTTGTTCATGATGATTTTTCTAATAAAACGTTGAATGTAACTCATAATAATCATATTCCTTGTGTTATTGGTGTCAAATCATTTGGTGGATCACTTCTTTTCTCAATAGAAACTCAACAAACAATTGGTTATGGAACACGATCAGTAACTGAAGAATGTCCAGTAGGAGTAGCTGTTTTAATAATTCAAAGTTGTTTTGGTCTTATCATTCAAGCACTTTGGATTGGCCTTATTTATACAAAATTATCTCGTCCTAGAAAACGTCGTCGAACATTAATATGGTCTCGACAAGCTGTGATATCACTTCGTGATGGAATTTTAACATTGCAATGTCGTTTAGGTGATATGCGTCATAGATCAACATTAATTGAAGCTCATATTAGAATGTATTTTGTTTCAAAACGTCAAACAAAAGAAAATGAAATAATTCCACTTAATTTGTTCGATATGGATGTTGGTTTTGATACAGGAAAAGATCGATTATTTCTTAATTGGCCACTTATTATTGAACATAAAATTGATTCACGAAGTCCATTATATGAAATGAATAAAGAAACACTATCGAAAGAAAAATTTGAAATATTAGTTGTTCTTGAAGGAATTATTGAACCAACTGGAATGGTTACACAAGCTAGAACTTCTTATATGCCTGAAGAAATTCTTTGGGGAGCAAGATTTCAAAGAATGATTCATTTTGGTAAAGATCATTATACTTTGGATTATTCGAAATTTGATTCGATTGTTGAAGATAATGCTACACCTGATTGTTCAGCTAAAAAACTTCATGAACAAACATAAAATAATTAACCTTATATAAATCTATTTATGAATTTCACTTCTTCAGTGTCGTTCAAGCTATTATTCAGTTTTTTAATGAATGCAAAATAGACTATCTTGAAGATGAGAGTCTTCTCTTCATTCTTACTCACTCACTCCTAACCACTCACTACTCACTCTTCGTTTTTTTTCTGTTTTAACAAATGATTACCGCTTTGAGTCACTTGAATTAAAAATCGTGCTTAAACATTGTGCAATCTACCTTGTTATGAACGTCTCATCTTACTATTTTAATTGTGCAGATTTCTTGGAAAATAAAGGACAAATATATAAAAATAAAGATAAGATCAATCGAAATAAAACTGTTTTCTTTTCGGTTTCTACTGCTACAGAATACTTTTGTATAAAGAAGTAAAAGTGGATTCTTGTTTTCTTTTTTATTTGTAAATTTGTGCGGCAGAGTTATTTAAGTCAGTAAACATAGAAAAGGAGTGTGGATGTCGATTCTCTCTTCACGTGCTCACATGCACACTCACATCCAAGATCTGTTCGAGCTTCCTCTGCCATTGTCTGAATCTCCTTAATCTATTTGTACTCCCAATCATCGATTCAAGATAGAACAGGATGGGAGCCATCCTTGTCGAGAAGATCTTGTTGAAATAGATTATGTTCCTCCTCAATATTATCTATTTCTATAGCAAGTTCTTGTCGATGTTCATTGAAGTATTTCCTCCAAAACTATTGTTGACATCCTGCACATGTTATTATTCCTTCACTTTTACGACATTTTATGCCAAGTTGCTTGGGCACATTTGATGCCATGTCTCAATGCCTGTAAAACGAAATTCAAATATCCTTCTTTTTCGTAGTATTCCCTTTGCACTTTTTTAGTTTCGGATCGAAATTGAAATGCTCAAAGGAGACGATTTGTTGCGACGCCTTGCCTAATAGCAGAAAAAAATCTAATAACAACAGCAACCTTCAGCAAAAAAGAAGTAAATTTGGTCAGTTTTTTCAAGGGTGTAGGTGTAAGTATGGCTGAGTGGCTGTGGATATTAATCACGAAAGCGCTCATTTGAATCATATTCATACAAGTTGACACCCACTCTTGCACGATGATGAATCATACAAGAAGCGATAGTATAGAAAAAAAGCCATTGTTTGTTTCTGTTTTCAAAAATATGGCGTCAACACCGTGGAACATGTAGCCAACTGCAGATTTGGTAGTGCTGGTGATGAAAGAATAACTCCACACATTCAATGCAGCTAAAGTTTCATTTTTTGCTCAGCATTTTGTGGTTTCATTTCAATTTCAATATGATTCTAGTAATCGATGTTTCAAATTTATGTCTCGAACGAACATACGAAAAACAATAGATTATCGATAATTTTTCCGATAATACGACATTAACACCTATTTATATGTTCAAAACAAAAGGTAAAACTGATTTAAAATTTTCACATGCCTGTGTACAAGCATAAGACCATCATTTTTTTTAAATATCAACAGTCAAATTGATTAGTAATGCTATATTTTGTTGCAACATATTCATGTGATCTTCAGTATAATACTGTGATTTACGTGAATCGACCTTATTCTTCTAGAATGTGTTGAATTCGTTTTCAAATAGAATAAAAAAATTAATAGAATATCTTTTCCTTGGTAATATTAATTTTCTAGAAAAAATCAGCAGAACAATTTTTGATTCATCGTTTTCTTGTGGATTAGATGGCATCCGATATATGCGTGTTGTTAATAGTCGAAAGTTTTTATCATTAGAAAATCATCGAATGCTTACTATTTTATAGATGAAATAAACATGTTTTATTTATTAATTATCAAAACACACTTGAACATATTTTTTGCTTGAATTACCAAAATATAGAACTTTTTACATACACACACACACACAGAAATACATATGAAAGACTAATAGAAAGAAAAGAAAACCTTTTTTTTTGGCTTTTAACCGAGTATAGCAGTTGTCACTTGAGTATTAATACCACATGTACCTTTACCACGTAAAATACGAAAATAACCATGTTCGCCCCAACTAGCACCCCAACTATTTTTCACAATCCAATAAGGTTTTGATCCTTCTTTTCCCCAACCAACCATAAGTACAGCATGATCAAGATTTTTTGGATTACAAAAAACTGGATTGAAAATTCCTTTATGATAAAATTGTAGCATTTCAGCATTGAGTGCAACAGATAATGGACCAGTATTCATTAAAGCAGCTGAAATATTTGTTTCATCCTCAAGATAACAACAGAAAAAAAGAAAAACAATACAATTTATATTTCAAATCTAATAACAATATTTTACTTCATCAATTGCTTTCCAATCGATAACTTTAAGACCCGATACAAATTTTGTTGAATCAAGTTTACTTTCACAACTATCTTTTATATAACAAAATGGAATTGGAGGACCACATAAAGTTTTATTATAGCCTGGAGCATTACAAGGTTCACATGGATTTTTTAATCCAGCACAATATGAATATGTTGATTCAGATTCAATACCACCCTATTCGATTATTTTTAAAATAAATTATTAAAAACAATATGTAAATATTTACTTGTTTCATTAAATATTGAAAACTAAGAAATGGCCAACCACCGTAAACACCACAATCAGCTTGTCCTCTAAAAAACCAATAAATCTTCATATAATTTTTATTAATCTTTTTTTTTTATATAGATACAAACGAATCAGTTTTTTGCATGCCATCACAATCGACTATTTGTTCAACAGATAAATTTGTTAATGTTTTACTTTTTAGAGACCATTGACCTTCGACATTTTGAACAGTTGAAAAAGCCCAACATGTACCCACCGATCCTATATATTGTAATAATCATACTTAAATAAATCTTTCCTTTTCGATTCTTTTCTCACCTTGATCTTTTACTGGTGTAACAGCATTATGATCTCGCCAATCGAATGAATCAGGTAGATCTCCAACAGTTGGAATTTTCATATATCTGTTATAACAAAACAAAACAAAAGGGTGTATGAAAATGAGATAAACGATATATATATATATAAAATGAAATTACCTTGATCGAGAATGTATAGGTGGTGCTTGAGGACGCATTAAAATCGTATTTCGAAATTCATCTTCTGATAGGTCAGCAAATTTATTCAATTCAAATGTCATATCATGTCTTAAAATACAGAATAAGTCATATAAGACAAAGAAAAAAAAATACAAATATTCTACCCGAAAACTTCATTTAATTTTTGAATTCTAATATAATTTTCTTTGAAAATTCTCATTCGTTGTTGATACTCAACAAATGAACCATAGTCACGATCGTTATGATCAAGCCAATTTCTTAAAACAATCATATGCAAAATTATAGAAATATTTATAAACAATCTAATACATACTTAAAAAGAGTTTCTAAGAGTCCATCAGATATATCGTAACTAAATAACGACAAAGATATTTACCAAAGAAATAAAATATTATAATTATAAATGTTACTCTTTTGTTAATGTAGCAAAACTTAAAGCAATAAGACATACGGCAATAGCCGTTCGAAATATCAAACAATTCTGCATGAGGACACAATCTAAAAGTGAAGAAACATTGTTATATAGACTTGTTATCATTACTAAAACAAAGATAAAAAAAAATGATCATGTCACTTAGGTAAAGACCTGCTTTCACAGTAAGACTCATTCTCTCAAGAGATTGCAACTTGTCAAATATATGAAAGAGTTTATTTCTCAAAACCAAAAATTGAATCAATTACGTGATAATACTTTTCTAAAAAAGAAAACGATAGTACAATTGAAAGAGAAACATATTTTAATTTTAGTATCCATGTTAATAGAACATTTACAATGAAAAAAACAAATATCAATAATAGGAAAATGTTCTTTGATGTAAAGTGAAAAGATAAGAATGTTACTTTATAATACATTAAAGCAAGAGAAAAAACAATGTTGAACTAATGATGTCTATTTCTATTTGGTTGTCACACGTGTTTTTTTATTCCAAGAAAAGTTCGCTCCATATATCTTCTTGAAATGAGGAGTTGGAGTTGATTCAGTAACTTCATATTTATAACCTAAAATTGAAAATATAAAATAAATAAGAACTAAAATTAGAAAAGAAAAAAAAATACTAACCCATACGTTCACAATAAATTATAGCATCTTCTTTACTACCAAATTCGACTACAACTGATGAATGAGGATCAGAACTAGAAATATTCTTTTATACTCAACAAAATAATGTTCTTTTATTAAGAAAAATACTTACGATGATGTCCAACCCATTAATGGATTTTCCCAACGTTCTTTTGTGTCCCATTCAACTTTCCATTTCTTAGTATTATTTGTTCCCGATTGCATAGCATTACGAGCAGATACAAATATACGACAACGTCGTTCTTTAAACATATCGCTAGGTACACCCGATAAAGCACCAATCGATTCCTATACATGAAAAAATTTCAAAATCCAAGTAAAAAAAACCCTATAAAATAACATAAACTTGATTTACATCTTGTCGTGGAATTTCAGCAAGAGGACTGGAATCAATAGGTTTTTGTGTATCAACACTTGTACGTCCCCATACGTTTTGAATATCAAATAAAGTTCTATAAATCAAAACAATACATTTTATTGAACTAATCTTTTCAGATTCATCAAAAATTGATTTAAGGGTGTGAGTGAAGATCTAGTAAGATTGATCGGGTCCGCTTTATCTTTCATTTTTCATTCCGAGTGCATCATTCGTATACCCCTAATCCAATGACGGATATGTTCTTTCTGAGATATTAAACATTCTTTTTAGCTGAAATTTTCAAGGCATTCTATTCACAGATAGACTTGTTTGTGAGTCAAATCTTAAATCGAAATATCGTCATTCGATTTCTAGGTAGAATTCCATGATGATGACAATTTCTAACGTAGACAACTTTTAACTTCTCTACTAAAAGTATCTACTATTGTAATATTTTGTATTTAAAAGACGATCAATGATTACCTTTGAGGAATA